TCTACTTTAGACTCCAACTCAACCAGCTAGCTAGACTAGTGCTAGACTAGTACGGACATCTACTAAACTACTCAAGATTACTGCTAACAATCTTCCCTTAACCTTGACGTGTCATCTCCTTGTGCTTCCTCTGGTCTTGACTCTTGCAGCTTCACGACTTGTCGATCTAAAGTCCGACGTACGATCCGGATTACCAGCTCACATGGTCGCATCTACGTGTGCAATGTGTAAGACTGGATGCATCATCAGTCTTCACGTCGTTCAACTTAACTGGTCACTTTTTCACTACACGCCAAGCTTGATCTTTAATTGTCATATCCGTACACTGAGTATCACCCGTCTGGAAACATGCAGTGCACCTCTCTTGCTCTGCCATGTTGTGCCACCGCCATTGCTTGGCCGCTGCCTTGCACTCGGTCCGCACCATACTCCTTGTACTTGCTTGCAATAAATCCACTCTTCACTGCTCGCACACCTCCTCACTTTACGATGGCTTCACCTACCATTGTCCGCCTTCGGCATCACACTGAATTCACACTGGCCGCAATCAGGACGCTTCACGAGGACATGAACATGACCCACGGAACACCGTGCACACCGCTTCCACTCCAACGAATCCACACAGAGACGAGCACTTGGACACGACGACGACTGACCGTGCTATCTCGCAGGACTCCTTCACTCATCCGACTCCCGCGGACGACGATCTTGATGAGCTCCAACACCACACCTCGGCACCACCTCCCCCATCAACGATCTTCTTCCAGTGTCTTCCCGACGACAGCCTGTCGTCTCCCTCCTTGTCGCTCTGCTGAACGACGATCGCCGAAACCTCCTCATCGCTGCATCACCCAGCGACTTCATCGCCCGCTCTTCCTCGTCGCTGCATCACCCAGCGACTTCATCGCCCGCCCCGAGGCGCTAGTAGGTCGCCACGTCGGGGCAAGCGCGGCTTCAAATCGACCTTGCTCTGATACCAATTGTTGGAACTCGCCCACAGGATCGATCACATCAAATCACGGAAAAACACGCGCACAAAAGCTTTTACCAAGGGTACGTCTTGTACCCTCTAAAATTCTCTTTTTATTGTTTTTCTGTTTTCTCTCCACTTTTTCTCCCACCGGTGTTACAACTCACGCCCGTATACCTACCTGTATATATATTGGACCTAGACCTACGGCTAGCAAACCGACTCAACCTGGACATCCAAATACAACACGGACGCACACCTAAGAAACCTAACAGGACACGGACTAGTACTCTTGCCTATAATCTACTAATCAATCACCGGCTAGATTGAACACGATTAGCTAAACGTACTAGGACACACTACGTAGACTCCTAGCTAACTATGCTTTAAACCTAAACATCAAGATTATTCTAACAATCAGAAAAGTCGTCGCATATGCGCGCTAGGATTTCTGTTTGCCTTGCGAATTCAGCTCGCTGAGTGGTCACTTCCTGCCTAGCCATATTAAATTGTCATTGCTTGGTGCGTATCTTATCTTGAGCTGTAAACAGTTTGTCGTTTGTCACCTGCAGCATATGGTAGTTGAAGTCATTGATGATGACATTGTAGTAGTTGCAAAAGTAATCCAGCGATGCTTGAGCAACTCCTTCTTCAGCCTCGTCCTGTGTGGCAGCTGGTTCTCCCTTGAACACCACGGGATTTTCATTAATAATGCCTGGACGACATGGCACTCCCATGTGAACAGATGCTTGTATTGTATCATTACCGAAGAAGACTGTCGCCACGCTTTATATATAAAGCAAACCACCCATTACAACCGGCCATACAACAAGAAACAGAAAATACATCGACAAAATACACAACTCCACGGAACAGCTAACGAGCTCCGAATGGCCAGTAGGACACCAGAGCCCACGACGGCCTCAGATCATGACATCAACGACTGCGACAAGGGAGCTATCCTCCACCGGAGGAAAGCCACACTCTGTCCCTCCCAAGGTCAAACCTGTTGTCCCGTCGCTGCCTCCGAAGAGGGCACCCCTGCCCTCCCGTCCTGGATCGAAGGACGCCGTCCCGTCGGCAGGCAGAGCAGCTCACCCCCGAGCACGCATGGACAGGCCAACCAGTTGCCGAGGATAGGACAACAGCCGTGGCGACCTCACCCCTAAAGGAAACCCATACATCGCCACCGTCTCCGGCCAAGACCCAAACACCCACCGTAGCTGCCGAGCATGGACACGACTGAAGACCAGCAGACCAGCACCGCACTGAGCCCTGACCACGAAGAGCTCCCAAGGTGGCGTCTTCAAGAAGAAAGCGACGCTAATGCGTCGCCGCCACCCAATCCAGAGATTTTGGGATTTCGCCCGGGACCAAGAGGTGGAGGGCCGGGTGTAGGTCTCGATGTTGCCCACAAGAAGGAGAACGGCGCCATGGGCGTCGCCAACATCGTGACCGGCCTCACTGGTCAAGGGTTTCCCCCGACCTAGATCCCGCACCCAACGCCCCTCCGACCTACAGAACAGGAGAACCAAAGGGCGCCCAAATCCCGGCCGGTCGTGGAGAACAAAGCACCAGGAGGCCACCACCTACAGATCGAAACCATACTCACTGCCGCCTCGCCGCCCAGCGCAGCCAAGGACGGCACCCTGCAGCGCCAGCGCCACCTCCCGTCGACGAGGAGGGGGCGCCCTCTCCAGCAGTGGCCGCCGCCACCCATGACACCCGCAGATCGGCCAGATCATACGCGCCCGACCTAGCCCACGCCACCACCAGATCGGTCGCGCAGCCGAGCTCCCGCCG